AATAGAACCTCCATTACGAAGCTTGAACGACAAGTCACGGCTCTTCTTGAAGAACTAATTAATGATAATGGCAGTGGCGCTTCTATGGGGGAGGGGGGCAGGGGGCCACGGCCCCCCAGAAATTTTCGTTGCCCCTTGTTTTGCCCACCCCAGTTTTTTCAAAAGTCTCTATTAAAAATTCAATGTTTTCTTCCAAAGCTGTCCAATCGTTGTTTGATTTTGTTAGGGTTGCTCTCTTTATTTTCCTCAATGCTATCTTTATTGCATTTACTTAACAAACGAGGGGCCCCGATAAGCGTTTTGGTTTGTAACCGAGGTGGACATTTATGAAATTTTGGCTCCTTTTCTAATAAGTTACCAAGTAAAAACCAAGTGTTACCAAGAGTTCTGTAGTTACCAAGAAAAGCTAATTATTGACAATCATTTAAACTCTATATTTGCTATATATTATCACAAAGATCCACCCTCTTTCGGTGGGGTGCGCAGGGTCAGCCCAATACCATCCCAGTGTACCTTGGCAATCTACTATTGCTTATCGAAATTGTATGACTTGAAATTCTGTGTAACAGAATGATTTGCTTGATCTCATGGAGGTTGGATATAAGACATAACTACTATGGAAAATTTTTACCGATCGACTTTACAAAGCTATTAGCCTTTTATTTTTCGAAGGATAGTTCTTCTGTTGAAAACCATGTTCATGAAACATTATTGTTAAACAGATAAAACTCAGTGGAGTAACAGAACAAAGTTACTTTTAGTCAAATAACAAATAGCCCCGAACCTTTAGGGGCCCCCAGCAAGAATGTTTCTTTATTATTTTCCCTAGGGGACACAGCTGCTCCTTACACCACCAATAAAACTATTTGGCATAATGATAACAACCTTGATAGAGCTGTACCAAGGACATACTTATCTATGGGGAGCTAAGAACCGGTGCCTTGTAGCTAGCTAATTTTGAGCCACCGCGCCACTGCTTTACATTCTACTAGTTCCCAAAGTAATAGCTAGCGTTGGCTCCTATAACTGAAAGTTTGGCCCTTGGTTAGCCCCCCCCCCCCCAGATTTTTAAGGCTATGGATAATGGAGAAAAACAAACGTATGTGAACGGACTAAACGAAAAGATACTGGAATTATGTCCAGACGTCAGCATCGAAAAAGAAGTCGATGAAACAACGGAGCTGAATTGCAGAATCGATGAAATTCTGGGAAGAATTCAAGCATTTAAAGACGGTCAATACTCTCAGACCAAAGCATTAGGAGTTGGGAGTGGAACGACACAAGCTATTACGTCAACGCCTTCCAGAGATGCTGAAAATGTTCAAGGAGCAACAATCAACGACCATGGTCTGAACACAAGCGGGGTTACCATGGGTTCTGTTGCCATTCGTCTGCCAAAAATGACGCTCCCACGATTTAAACGGAGATATTACACGTTTTATGTCCTTTTGGCAGAGTTTTGAAAATGCAATAGATAAAAACGAAGGCATAACTACGGTTGATAAGCTCAACTACTTGGTGAATTTGTTGGAGGGTCCAGCATACCGTGCAGTATCAGGACTTGAACTGACGGAACAAAATTATTTAAATGCGGTGGAAATTTTTAAGGCGAGATGTGGCAATGAACAACAAATAATCTCAACGCACATGCAGGCTCTCCTTGGGCTACAAAACTGCCCAAACGAAAACGTGAAGCAATTGCGTTTCATTTACGACAACATAAATGTACACGTAAGGGGGCTTGAAGCCCTTGGTATGACTTCTGCAAGTTATGGCAGTTTGTTAGTACCCATCCTTATGGCAATAATGCCGCGAAAAATTACGTTGCATGAAAGGAAATTGAAGCCAGGGAATTGAGTGATAACATCAAGCCCGTCGAAAAGAAATGTAACAAAACATTAGGATATCAACCAAAATCACCACAAGGCACTACCAAGACATTTTTGACAAAAGAAGAAAAAGTGCAAGTAGTGCTTATTGTGGACACGCGCACTATCCGTCAAGCCAGGAAATAACGAATAGAAAAAAGCTTCTACTGGGAACCAAACGATGTTTTTCCTGCTTGAAATCTGGACATATGACAAATAAGTGTCGGGAAAATCGCAATTGCAAAAAGTGTGGCAAAAAATTTTCATCACGAATTAATTTGCTACAAAGGAGCAAAACAAACGGAGGAAGAAACAAAAGAAACTACCAGTGTTACAGGAAAACAGGATATCAGGTTTGTTGATTTTGGTTTTGAATGAAGACAGGTGATAAGAATCTGGGGTGCAAAAAGGGCGTTCCAAAGCGTTACAAAGTTTACAAGCTCTAGGAAGGAAAGACGAGGAAGATTCAGAGTATATCTTGGGGAATCAGGGATAAAAGATCAGATCTCCTGGTAGCAATGTGTATGGAAATAACTGTTAAAAATGGATTGGTTGGCAAAAGAACGCGGAGGAGAATGAAGTTGCAGAGATTTGTAAAGTTGCAGTTGTTGATGAGATGAATAGCAATTTACCAACCCAGGTATGAATCATGGCATTAGATCTATCAGAGATAATGCTGCCAATCCACCTAATAATAGTGCATTACAAACCATTAAATATGGTGTTTTCTGATGAAGAAGTTTTCTGCCAGACAAAATCAAAACCTTAGGCAAGAGGTGTAGGAGATCACTCTGCAGTTACCAAAGAAGTCAATCTCAGAACTATGCAATTACCAAAAGAAGTCAATAACAGAACTATGCAATTACTAAAGGAATCGATAACAGAACAAGGCAATTACCAAAGGAGTCGATAACATAACTATGCAATTACTAAAGGAGTTGATAACAGAACTAGGCATTTACCAAAGTAGTCAATAACAGAGCACCAAACGTGAGCAGCATGAGCTGGAAAAGCCCCGGTAGATCTTGCTGACCAAACCCTTCACTAATAGGTTACTGAACAAAAGACTAAAGCTCAGACCAGGTGTGCTGGAACTCCTATAACACCCCCTAGACCTGTCACTGAGTGAATACAAGCAGTTTCTCTAGATCAAAAAAGAAAAAATATATCTAAAGTTAGAGATAACTACTTATACTAAGTGCTTATAAGTTATCTGTTAGAATTTAGAGAAAGAATCAAAGAAGGTGATTGGTATACTCTTACTAATGCAGTAGAATATCATGGATACCATACACATTACATCTTAGACACAGACGTCACAGGAAAAATGTTAAAGATCATATTGACCAGGAGATGCCAGAGTGCAATGAGCTAGCAGTCTGTAATAGTTTTGTCGATTTATTTTACATTTACCAGGGAACATAACCTGACCAAGAAACATGATATTTTGATCAATTTACACGAGCTTTGCCAATTTTACATTTGCCACATATTTCTTCTTTTCTTGTCATCCATTTCTCAACAAAATGATGCTCCCTTTAACTGTGGTGCCTTTAGCACATGCTTAGTCTGCTTAATGGTTTATACGACCCTGCATACGTCGATACAATGGTTCGTTACCTAAATTTGCAGAATGCTGGCAGTATACAAAGCAGAGGAAGTAGAAAGCTAAGTTAAACCCCTATCCAGTTTTGATTTTTCAGGACCACTGCCATGACGGGGGCGAATTAAAGTCTATTTGGCATTGTTATCATTAGTATCTAAATCAAGTTGCTTGTTATTGCTTTCATTTTTAGCGAAATTGTAGAGATTAGCGTGTCAGAGGTCTGGGAACGAGTACATGGCCCAAAAATAGCATTTAGGGCCATTTTGATGATAGTTGTGAATCTAAGTCACATTACCGTGTTATGGTTAGCATTTATGCTAATTTTCATGCCATTGATTTCGTTTTCAAAAAGTTAAAGAGACTACCAGTTTAGAAGTCTGGGAAAAAGCATTCTAAAAATAGCATTTTGGGGCATTTT